TAATTATGTCAAAGTATTATCCACTCTGTGCGTGGCATACACAAACTACCTCGGAAGAAATGTTTGGGAGCTACAGATCCATATGGAGCATACTGATTTTGTTTTAAAAGAAAGGTGTCCATACAGAAAATTGTGTTGTCATCACTTAGCAACTTATGGCTGGGGTTAGAGGACTAAGCTAGAGCCCCCCATTTCTGGAGGCATCTACATATGTCAAGTGATTAAAGACAGAGAGATGTGGTAACACTGAGGTTGTTAAAAGAAGGGGACAGACTCTGTGCTTTGTCTTGTCCTCAGAAGGGGCTGGTCAAAGGAGCCAAGTGAGTGAATGGGGGGAAAGGCACAACTTATGGCCATGACTGAGCGAAGAGAGTAGCAAGTCCTTCCTGTAAAAACAAGAAGGAGCTGGATGGAAATAATAAAACTGCCATGGCGCCACGTAAAAAACGGATCAGAGTCCTAACACAGTATGAAATTGTTTTTAAAATCTTTGAGCTTTGGGTGCGAACTGAGAGATTATGGCCTGGGTGGCTCACATCCCCCCCTCAGTCACCATCAGTCTGCCAGGTGGGACATGCTGAGACTGGCAGCTTTTCTCCTGATGCTGCTGAAGGATGGCAGCAGTGGGGAGAGGGACGCAAGCCCCCAGCCACTTGGTCAGTGGAAGGAAAGATCTCTGAGATGGAAAGTGGGGAGGGCAGGATGCTGAGGGTCTGTGACAGCAGAGCAGAGGCAAGAGAGGACCGAAAACAGCACACTTCCCTGGCAGACTCCATGTGCCAGCAAACAAGAGTCCAGCCGTCCTGGAAATCTCCTGAACCATATGTTGCCCTATTGATAGACAGCTCCATAGAGATAATGCCTAGAAAGCCAAGACTATTAAACAAAAGCAGAAACAGCAGTGACTATAGACCACAGAGCAGGTAGATTTAAACGCATTTTTTCAAGCGAGCTGCTAAACAAAGAAACCAGTAAAAGTAACAACCACCACTTTTAGATGAAGGGCGATTTTGATCCCAGATTTGTTGCATTATTTAAGACATGCAGATAGGATAAAAAAGGAAGTTAGTAGACATTGTCAAGAGTGCCCACAGATGTTAGGTTTGGCAAAAATTTCAAAAAAAGAACTTAGGGGATAACATCAAGAATACTACCACATGAAATGCCTTAGATTAAGATACACACATAAAACTAAAGTAAAAGGATACAAAGGGAAATGATGTAAATAGTACCTATAAGAAAGAAAGCTATAGTAATCAGACAAAATATACTTACTACCAGAAACAGAGAAGGAAATTGGAAAAGATTGAAGCCATACAATACAGGATCAGATACCGACAAATGAAATGGAATAATTTCCAAATCTTTAAAAATGAAAACAAAACATAAAATTTTATGTAGCACAGCTAAAGCAATATTTACAGGAAAATGCATTGCTTTAAAATACTTCTACTGCAAAAGGAGAAATGTTTCACGTCAACAATCCAAGCATCCAACTTAAGAAATTAAAAAAAAGAAGAGACAGACCGCTGTGAAGGAGTGAAGGGAGAGTGCATCAGTATGAAATTCTGAAGGAAGCGGAGTTCGCAGCAACCAGAGACTGGTTAGTAGCAGAAACCCAAATACTCGAAGAGTAAATTGTACCACGTGCCGTACAAAAGTTGACCTGGTTTCGTTTATTTCATCTTTCCAAAAGCTCTAAGAAACCCAGATTGCAAGAATGTATGATAAGCAAGTATATATTTTTACATGCCTCCAGTTTCATTTGGAAATTTAGATAAATATTCAAATGATGAAAGCTAAGAACAGGCTCTAGAGAAGTCTCTAGCCACATCACTGCCTGGAACACAACTGTTGACTGTCGTTCCTCCCCCCCTCCCCTCCATTATTTTTATCTAATAAAAGCAATATTTCATAGGAGAAAGGTAATCAGTAGATACCGTACATACTCGAGTATAAGCCGACCCGAATATCAGCTGAGGCACCTAATTTCACCACAAAAACTGAATTTTAAAAATGTGCTGAAAACAACACTTGCTTATACACCACATGAGTATATATGGTACAATTATCTGGTTTGGATGAACCCCAAGATAATCCAAACTGGCTGTTAAGAATTATTCTTAAAAAAGCCATTTTCCATAAGTGGGATGGAGTCAGAAATTTAAGAATACAAAAATGTTAAGATAACCCATTCTATAGATTTGCATGAGAGAAAATTATGCAAAGAAAAGCGATAATGCTATTGTTAGTCCCTGTCCCAAGAATCTTATATGATCTAAAGAGTTCTTTTCCAGTATTTAAACTGTATCCAAGAATAAGTGATTAATAATGTTGACTAGAAAAAAAATCAGGATATGGACACAAAGTGTCAAAAACTCAATGAGGATATTTTCCAAATCTCAGTACTTATATTCTACCATTTCTGCTTCTGAAAGGAAGTATGGGGCTCTTTGTAGATATCTGAGGGCCCAGGTAAAGCTAGCTTCCAGTCTCTCAAGAGTAAATGGAGAACTCACTGCTTAGCATGGCAGGTGCTCAATAGCCTCTACCATACTGAGCTCTCGATTTAATCAGATGTTTTTGCACACTGCTGAAAAAGAGACTATAATGAGATTTAGTTAAACAGCTCACATAGATTTATAGGTAAAACTTTAGATCTAAACGACCTTCTCTAATTTATATGGAAAACAAAACTTAACATTTTGAACCAAAACAGTCCTATTACCTGAATTTCTTCAACCACAGATTTGAACTGGGGGATTCGCTCAGTCATGTTTTTAACCAATTCCATCGCATTATCAAATCCCTTCACATACTCTCCATACATCTTAAGGAAAGGTGCCAATTTCTGAAGGATGTCACCAATTCTTGGGGTAGTTTCCCTGTATGAAACAGAGAGAGAGATGGATTATTAAAATCTTACAGAACGGGTACAATAACTAACAGGATTCAAGAAAACTAAACTCTGAGGAGCTGATGCCAGGGGCTTATGTGGAGAGCAAATGTTTTGAGAATGATGATGGCAACGCATGTACAAATGTGCTTGACACAATGGATGGATGTATGGATTATATTAAGAGTGTATGAGCCCCCAATAAAATGATTTTTAAAAAAGAAAAGTAAACTCTGTACACACACGGTGCAATATCAGACCTCCTTTACTGGGCAAGTGGGAAAGAATACCTAATTTCTAAGGGTGTTTCGGGATGATACAGTAAATAAAGAAACTATGAAATTCTTGAGTCTAACTTTATTCCAGGTATCTTGCCTCCACCTGTCAAAAATAGTTTAGCGAGAAGAAATGAGATCCTCTTCAGCTGAAGCTGGCTCTCTGGCACTCTTTAACACCCACATTTAGCACCCTTATCTTGCTACAGTTCTGCACCGCTTTTCACGTTTTCCTTACATAGCATTTGCTGTCTACTCCTCTTACCATTCTTGCATTCGTTTCTCCAGCTCTGGCAATAGGAATTTACTATGGAAGGCATTTATTGATGAAATATTAGAAAAGATTTTATTCACCATCTCTGCTGGAAATGAGCCTCGGTTTGCTTCTTCCAATAGTTTGCAATAAAATACCTGAATCAGAAAATAAATCACACATCTTATCAGATTCACAGTTCAATGACGTAGCACTGTGCTAGGCACACAGTGGGAGCTTAGTCTTTTTTTTTTTTTTTCAATTAAGGAAAAGTTCAAGGTTTAAGAAACACAACCTTAATTGCAATTTAGGAGTATAAGCTTCCATTTAGATCAAAAGACCAGGAATATAAATTAGGAGATCTTGCTTCCAGTGTAGGCTATATGCTCTATCAGTGGGATGTTAAGACAAATGATTGACTTTTTTGTGTGTGAGGTACAAAAAAAATTATGACCCTTTATTTCTATGTTAGCATAGAGTTAAGAGCTAGGGAAACTTCTTTTTGTCAAAATGTTTCCCTTAAAAAAATTGTGATATTTACCACTTTTCTTTGCTGCTTTGAAAGCACCCCTGGGTGTTGTGAACAGATAATGTGCTCACATGTTAACCTAAATGTAGACTTAGAGGTAGGTACCTTGGAAGAAGGTGCTGGCAATCTACTTCCAAAAAAAAAAAAAAATCAGCCCCAGGAAAGGCTGCATGCAGTTCTACTCTAACTTACACGGGCTGCCCCGAGTAGCTATCAACTTATGGTAGCTGGTTGCTTGTTGGTGTGTTTTGGCTCTAGTGTTGTGAATGGCTCCTCTGTTACCTCTTATGCAACTTATTGACAACAATTTTAGTTTTTCCTATTAAGAATATGTAAGCTCCTTGATATGATTTAACTCCCAAAATACAGGTGTCCAATAACTAATCTGGTCAATCATATGTTTACTTGCTTTTCAGTAATGAGACATAAAACAAAAAATGAAAACCCAACTTCTCCTGCACTAGGAACAGGTACCTTCACCCAAATTTTAAAAAGAAAGTGTTGCCGCCTCAGCTCTCCTCCACTAGGTAACTGTACCTCTTAATTGCCACTCTGTTAACCTAGGCAGAAGGAGGGTCTGCTCCTTCCTAATGTCCAGATGGTGGTTAATTTTCTAAATTCACCTCCATTGCATTTTCTTGAGGCAAAAACAACACAAAATTATGCCCCTAGAGACCACAGTGGGGAGGATACTGTAGCAATGAAGACTCTAAAATTCAGAAAGGTCAGCAACAGTAGCTGACCAAAAACAATACTAAAATTTGTTGTGTAGAAGAGAGGACACATTTATTAAGGACAAATGAGAAAATTTCAGGCCTCTCCCAGAAGGGGACACATGATCGAAGGACCACCATGAAGTTTCAGTGCCCCTGCAGCAGAGAAAGGGTGGTTCTTACAACTAACAAACACACTGGACAGCTTTCTCTAACCCAGAATCCTCTTATTAGAAACCAGCCTGCTACACTTAACACTGAACCAAGATTGAAGTTACTTAGTTTTCAATAGTTATTCTTATGGTATATTTACATACTTTCCAAATGTATGGAAATGATAGCTGAGCTGTGCCCATGTGGAAAGCACCAAATGTGAGAGGAGACTCCAGGGTCAACAACAGCGAACAGATACTGCTAGCCATTTCATACCAGGCCCAGAGTGTCTCCGAAAGGTGAACAAGTACAACTCATAAAATCCCTTCTGGGTGGGTGGAGAAAGGGGGAACCAATCAATGATCAATGTATAACAACCCCACCCTCAGCCCAGGGTGACAAACAAGAGAAACATGGGTGAAAGGAGACTGGACGGCTTAAGATATGAAAACAATCACAATTTACAATTTATCAAGGGTTCATAAGGGTGAAAGAGAAGTTAGCTGATACCATGGGCTCAGGTAGCAAGAAAATGTTCTGAAAAAGATGGCAACATATGTACAAATGTGCTTGACACAATGGATGTATGGATTTTGTAAGAGCCCCCCAATAAAATGATTTCTAAATAAACAAAATCCCTTCTGGACAGACCTACTACTATATGGGTTCAGGTTACTCACACATTGGTAACTGCAAAAGAAACTAAAGGATCAATGATATATTCATATTAACAATAGAATAATCAGTGTCTATTTGGTGATATCAATAAAGTATCAAGAAATAGACAAATGTTTCATAGTGAAGGGCACAGATTAGAAGGCGTTTTCTGACTGGTATACAGAGAAACTTCAGCTCTTAATAAATTCCTTTGTCCTTAGTGAATACATGGAGAAGCCAAAAGTGCCAGAGGTTTCCTTGAAGTAGCTTTAGTGGGCAAAAGGGAAGACTCTTCTTACAGTTTCTAAATCACTTTCATTACAAAGTTACGACGATAATAATCCTGAGAGAGAAAAATATTACCTGATCTAACAGGTCAAGTCGGTTGACATAAGCTCTTTCAGTGAGCAAGAGTTCATTGGCTATTTTGTGAAGTTTTTGCTCATTAGTTTCCTAAAAATAGAACAGATATTCACATATTAGGAAAGAAAACTTACACAATTTTCTCAGATAGTAAACATCCCTTCAAATAATTTGATCAAAACAGTTTCTCAAACTGCTCAGGTACCCAGTCCCTCAGCCACCCAACAATTCTGACAAACAAACAAAATGAATATGTAACTTCTTCATTGCTCTTTGGAAGAAGTTAATACGATTATCCATCTTTTCCATAAAATACTTTTATTCAGAGTCCCTGAATGTGACGCTTTCCTCACTTTTCCCCCGTCTCTCAGGCGATTTTCAGACTCGACTCTTTGAAATGTCTCATCTTACTTTTAGCCTGTGAGCCAACTCCACTTGTAAACATGCAGACTATATATGAAAGAAGGGAAGGAGTACAATGAATCCCGTGTGCCCATCACTGAACTCTTTCAATAGTCAACCTTTTGCTAAGCTTGTTTCCTCTATACTTCCACTCCTGTTTTAAATAATACAGTGTTTGGGGTTTAATCTTCTCCACATTTATGTATACAGCGCTTCAGTATGTTTTTATTGCCCTATTAACTTCATGAGGATGGGAGCATAATTCCTTTGATAGCTATTCAATCTGGCACTACAACATATCAGTGCAACAGTGGCACTCAATAAAATATTGAACACATGAATCACGAGTTACCATCTCAGAGACCCAACCACTGCTGGACACTTACTACTATTTTGGTCTCCTCCTGACCCAACTCATCTGTTCTGCAAAACTTTCACCACCCATCCCGACTCCCTCGTAAACATTCTATCCCTTTCCAGGAATTTGTTTTGGAATCTGGAATCAATTTAAACAGTTCCACTCTTAAATCTGCCTAAAAGTCTAAATGTACATAAGCCAGCACAATGGGGAATGGTTCACATCAATGTAAGTCAAATGTTTGACTTGATGTACTGTATACCGTGTATAAGGATAAGTTCATAAGTACTGCTACAAAACCAAGAAACCCTCGCTGAACACAAATTATCAAAATGTGAAGCTCTGGCTTCTCAACACACCCTTAATGTAGACACTTCTGAATGTGGCATTTCCCCTTCACTAGCCCTTCCTCAAAGAATGCTGCGTTCTGACTTACACCCCAACTCAACATGGTAATTTTAGCTCTCTTTCCAGTGCCCTTCGAGTGTGGGGGAAAGAAGCCTGAAGGGTAAGACCAGGGCTCGAAGGTGAATGTGTTAAGGTTCTGGAATTACTGTAGGCTGGCCCTTGTGACCCTTGAAGAAAAAGCAGGTACACTGTCATAACGGGGGAAATGCCTCAGCATAACTACTCTGGCCCTTTTCTCACTAACACAGTTGTCAATCTTATTAAAAGGTCTTCCTATGAAGCCCCCATGATGGGCCTGCATCTGCTGCAAAAAAAAAAAATCTTATCAAGTTTACCCATTGATAGAAACCCTAACAAGTCTATGGCATGTGCCTCACTGAGGATACATATCAGCAGCCATCCAGATTGAATAGGCATATTTAAACATTCGCTTCGCATATACCCATGCATAGGATCGGTTTATTACGGTGGGTTGTACATAACCCAAGGACTGCGTATTTTCTGATTCTAACCCACCTTACATATTGAAACATGGGGCATCTTCATAAGATTCTGTTTTGCACATACTATTCTACTCCTAGAAATAAAATCCATCAATAGGTCCCCATAGACTGACTGCATAAAGTCTAGATACTGTGTAGCATTGAGTTGTTCCATGTTTGTCTCTAGCAATTTTCTCCAGTGACTCTTTCATTCTGTGTTTAGAGGCACTTGTCCACCATGATTCAAACATCTCCCTGGCCATCCTGTCCCCACACCTCCCTGTGTGGCATGTGCTCCTGCTCTGTCTCACTGGGTGGCTAAGACTTACTTTCCTTTGAAGAGCCTGCTGGATTTCCGTTCTTTAAGCAGCTTTCTTCAGCTATGTAAAGCCCGTGGCCTTGTTTGTTTCTATTAGAAAGCATTTTATAGTTCATGTGTAAAATGTATAGTTGAGAAACATTACCATCTTCACTCTTTACACTATATATTTGCTGCCATTGGGTCAATGTACAGATCAGAGTAGAAGTGCCCCTGGGTGGGTTTGAGACTCTACCTCTACAGAGTAGAAAGCTTCATCTTTCTCCCAGAGGACGGCTGGTAGCTCCTCCAGAATTCCCTTGATTCTCACATGGATCAGTCAGCGGTAGGCCACAGTTGGGAAATGGGGGATCTCTGGGTTAAACCCAAGACTTAGGAATGAAGATAATTGTGGAGGGCTAAGGTCCATGGGCCCCATGCAGGTACTTGAGTGTCTACCACACCCTGGTCTGAGGTACACACTGAGCCACTATGCTCAAAGTCAGCAGCTTCTCAGAAGACAGATAAGGCTTTCCATTCTCATAAAGATTTACAGGACTGGAAACCCACAGGGCCAGCTCTACTCTGTCCTATAAGATGGCTCTGAGTCAGAATTCACTTGCTGGACGTAATTAAAAATTGTTCACTCTTAAGAGAGTATAAAGCAATAATACAGGCAACATAGTAAAAAACTCCAGAACAAAGTAGATTTTAAATCAGCATATGATGTGTGTAAATGCTACCAACCAACGTGAATGCTACACTGTGTTCCACATACAGGAGATACACAGGCAGTATCTGTTATTTCTTGCAAAGGGGTACTATTTTCCTTCTAAGAGCAGCACTGGTATGAGTCATGTACTCTACAAATGTTTAACTAATCTGTGTTCTGAGCAGTATTGCACTAAGAACCTGCGGTCTTCAGATTTGGTTTAGCTCAGTCCCCCGCAGGGTGCAGTACTTGCATTGTTGGATGCCTACTGAGCAATCTTCCCCCGTTCTTAATGGTCTCCAAATCTGGCTGGTCTGTGTATGTTGTCACCATGTGGGCACTTCCACTGGGGGAACTGCCCTCATGCACATTTTTAACTAGGGGCTCTGGATGGCATAATATCTGATTAATCATGTCCCTTGCCATAGGAAAATCATGACCCACTGAGAAAAGAGGAGATACATACTGGACTTCTGCGAAAGGCACTCTTTACAGGGAAACGAGCTCTCTGACCTTCCATGTAAATGAGGGTGCACACAGGCTTGAAGGCTGTATATGGGAACCTTATCAACTGCAGAGTGAAGCTGAAATTGTGGAGAGTCAAAAGCATCCCTTATTGTTTAAGTCAGGCTGTATCAGATGGCCATTTGCAGGCCAAAGCATCCTGATAGAGAAAATTGACATACTAGGAAACACAGGTGATCTCTGCCATGAAATGGAAATCTTTATATGGAAAATTTATTAACATTTCAGTATAAGGTTAATAGGAATTTGCCATCCTTCATACTCCTGGGGAAAATGACTTGCATCAACATTACAAGCAATTTGTCCTTTGGTTTGTAAACAAATAAGACCCTTAAAAGCAAACAAACAGTAACATTTCCCCTTTTGGTATATACTTCTAAGTTTTGACAAATGCATACAATTATGTAACCACTACAATCAAGGTGTAGTACACACTCACCACACACAGACTTTTCTTGAATTCAACCCTACCCCAGTCTCACCACCAATTTGTTTCGTCCAGAATATCATGTATAAGGATATGTACCTTTTGGCTTTAATGTCTTTAGCCAAATATACTTAAGATCCATCCGTGCTGTTCTTAGTAACATTAATTTGTTCCTTTGAAGCCCTTAGTTTCATTCTAATAGTGTTGATGTAAGTCCTTTTAGCAGGCCCACATTTTATATGCTTAGATTCTACTTCTGACAGACATTAAGAAAATGAATCAGCAGAACTTGTGCCATTGTGTGGTAGTTACACAATTTAATGCCCACTTGATAAAAGAATGAAGGGGTGGAGTTTAACCTGTCAATCAGGTGCCTGATCGATTCCCTCCTTGCAGGCGTGGCCTTCTCACAAGAATTCTGGGAACTTCTTCCTCCCTGGAGGCAAGACACACACTGGCTCTGCTTTACCTTCCTAATGACAAGCTACATGGAGCTACACTGATGGCAGCCAGAACCCTGGAGATGCGTCCACCGCCATTAGATCCATGTAACTTTCTACCCACTGGTCTGGGATTTTCATTTGGCATCATTGCATGCGCTGCATGAGTCTGAAGTGGAATTCATGGGCTAATATCGAGTTTATGGACTTGCTCTGGTTTGGGATGTTTGATGCATAACTACTAATTGATATAGAGTTCTGTCACGCATATATGAGTGTCTTTGGATTTGTTTCTCTAGTCAGCCTGGTCTAACACACATAGAGAGATGATGTCTTTTATGAGTAAAAACATTAACCAACAAGTCATATAGTCAATTATTGGCAATGCAGTGAGGTCACCCTTGAGGTCTTTCACAATTCTCCAGGATCTGCAAAGGAAGCTGATAAAAAACAGTCATTTGCTGACTGCCAAACTTATTTTTAGCTGAACTGGCCAAACTGATATTACCTGGTCACATCTTGCAGAAACCAAAGGGGCTGGCAGAAGTTATTAGCAAAAGCTATGTTCTTCTACACAGATGGTCTGTTGCACATTAGGTCCCTGACCTTGCCAAAGCCAACACAAGATAAGCAAAAGTAAGCTTGCTGACACACAAAGGTTTCATCTCTTAGTAAAACGGCTTTGAAGAAAAGTGAGATTGTGGAGTACACTTTATAGAGTACCGCCGCCGCCATGATTAGCACAATAAGAATAGCTAACACTTGATCACTGAGTGCTTATTGTATGCCACTTACAAGTATTTCATATAACCGAGTAATTTAATCCTTGTAACAACTTTATGAAATAGGTACTGTTAGTTTCTCTGATTTTCAGGCAACATACAGCAAAATCCCAAGGTGCTAAGAAACTCTAGGTCAGGCGTCCTCAAACTCTGGCCCAGGGGCCATATGTGGCCCGCCGAGAACATTTATCTGGCCCGCCGGGTGTTTTTGCCCCGTTTGTTTTTTTTACTTCAAAATAAGATATGTGCAGCGTGC